CTTCCTTTTAGCATCTTATATTGTGCTACGATATACATCCACCATCTTAACCACTTTAAGTGTCTAGTTCTAATGATTCACACTGTACAACAGTTCGGTACCTTCACATCACTGTGAAACCATCACCCCATCTGTCTCCAGGCCTCTTTGTGACACTTTTGTGATTATCTATGAGCAGGAGACAGAAAATTGCCAGTTTGTTTCTAATCATGAAAATCCAATTTTAATTCAGAGAACAGTACACCTAAAAGACTGTAGCTTGCTGTAGGTTGACTAGACTTCAATGACACTGATTAAACACGAAGGAAGGAGAGCACCGTGAGTGCATGAAGCTGCTAACAACTGGGACCCACACTAGACAGGGGCAGATGAGGAAAGGGAGACTGGGACTTCATCAGAAGTCGTGGGGACCTCTGGTGGGTTTGAAGAGAGTAGTGCATTTACTCACTCATTTACTGTGGACATTTTTGAGTGCCTCTGTTTCAGGCACTGTACCAGCCACTTTAACTGGTCAGAGTTAAATCTTATCTTGGTTACACTAGAGATGCTTGGGGGCAAACAGAAGTTTTTGCAATTCTCCAGGTAAAAAGTACTAACTTAAGGCAGCAGCAGAGGGGATGAAAGCAAAGGCGGTGTGTGTTTTTAGTATTACCTGTTAACCAGGGCCATCATAAAACCACAGATCCCATCATTTTGCTCCTACTTTTGAAATCACTTGAAGGACTGATTTTTTTTTTTTGGTAATATTGCTATCAAAAATTTTTAAATTGCTTTTATTTTTTTAAATACTTGACAGTAGAATGCATCACAATTCTTATTACACATATAGAACACAAATTCTCATACCTCTGTTTGCATATAAAGTATATTCACACCAATTCATGTCTTCATACATGTACTTTGGATAATGATGCCCATCACATTCCATCATCATTGCTAACCCCCTGCCACCTCCCTTCCCCTCCTACCCCTCTACCCTATCTAGAGTTCATCTATTCCTCCCATGCTACCTCTTTCCCTATCCCACTATGAGTCAGTCACCTTATATCAGAGAAAACATTCACCATTTTTTTTTGGATTGACTAACTTCACTTAGCATTGTCTTCTCCAACTGCATCCATTTATCTGCAAATGCCATGATTTTATTCTCTTTTATTGCTGAATAATATTCCATTGTGTATATATGTCACATTTTTTAATTCATTCATCTACTGAAGGGCATCTAGGTTGGTTCCACAGTTAGCTATTGTGAATTGTGCTGCTATAAACATTGATGTGGCTGTGTCCCTGTAGTATGCTGTTTTTAAGTCCTTAGGGTATAGACCGAGGAGAGGGATAGCTGGGTCAAATGGTGGTTCCATTCCCAGTTTTCCAAGGATTCTCCAAACTACTTTCCATATTGCCTGCACCAATTTGCAGTCCTTGCATTGATTTTTTTTATATTTAATTTTAAGTTATAATTGGACACAATACCTTTATATTATTTATTTATTTTTATATGGTGCTGAGCATTGAACCCAGGGCCTYGCTAGGCGAGTGCCCTACCGCTAGGGCACCCATCCATTGGTTATTTTGACCCGAATAAATTTTATGTGACACATTCAGGAAGTACTAAATAAAATCTGTCAGCAACAAAGAATCTGTTGTACAGATACAAATACATAAACTGAACACRTGTTACCTTCAAGGCACTGTGGTTAAAAAAAAATGGTCTAATTAGATCAGCATCAGTTTGGTAGAAGATATCTGGCTTGAGAAGAGGAAAAGCTGTTATCTACAGGCTTCTTCTGAGCGAAAACTGGAGATGGCATAAATGTTTATCAGTGCAGAAAGTGGCCAAAGAGATTGCAGGAAATAAAACAATAAAATGTCATGCACTGGGTCCACTTTTAGTACCAAGGAATGGTCTCCAAAATACACTCAAGTGAAACAGGAATTATGGAATATATTGTACAGCATAATGACATTTATCTAAAAACACCTATGTGTTTTTGTATGTACATTTTGTATTTACGAATATTTTCTCAGTAACTGCAGATAAGAAGATCAGGACATATGAGGCAGGAGGAGGAGAGAAAGGAGAAGGAACTTTTGGGTTGTATTCCACACAGCAATGAGAATACATCCATGTGTTTCTTGTATAGAAAAACCACTTTTATAGGTTAGTATACCAAGTGAGAAGATTGCATTACATCACAAGCTTACAGCTCTTCCTTCTAGTCTTTATTGGTAATTCAAATCATATAACAGTCCTCATAATAACAGTTGAGAACAGTGTKCTTGTGCGTGTATGTGTTTTAATTTGTCAAATTGCTTTTAGACTGTAGTTTTAAATGACTGGAAGTTACGTATATCAGAGGATATTTGAGATGAGAACATATTGGCTATTGCCAAGGGTCTCTCCTTGAATCACAAGAAAACCCTTTAAGAGAGCTAAAGAACATATTTAATTTATTCTCACTTAAGTCATTAACTATATATTTACTTTTAGTATTTTTTTTTGCAAATGAGCAAAGCAATTCACAGCAATCTTTGATCTTGCAATTTGAAACACACTGAAATAGCATGCAAGTAATGCCTTCCTATTTTCAAAATTATATTTGAATTGCATGCTGAGGCCAGGGAAATAATTTGGCCACAGTAAAAACGTCCTGGGTCTAGGCTCTAAGACATATGGGCTCAGACAAGGGTTTTGTTTTCTTGGTTGCCAAATTAATATCTCCTAGATATACTAACTAGCAAATCAGACAAGCATTGGTGGAGACTTTATATATTTTTAAACTGTATGAAAACATCTGCAAAGGCCATTCACAGAAGTCTGTTTGACAATGGCTGCTTGGCTACGATCGAAAAATTAATTCGCAGCACTCACATGGCACTTTCAGGGCCTCCTTCCAAATGGAGCTTTTAAAACAGACTAAAATTGAATTCTTCTCAGTCTCAGCCCACTTAAAGTTAAAAAAAAAGAAAAAGAAAAGAAAAGAAAAAAAGCAAGATAGTAGGTGTAAATGACTAAGAAGGGCCCTCCAGGGGTGCTCTGGAAAGCCAAAAGATTGGGAGCTGCATGCAGAATGTCTCCATAACAAGTCTAGACTATCTGTAATCTGCTGGTGGTGAAGAAAACCAGATTATCAAGAAACCTTGTGGAGCCAACAGTTACAGGAGCATAAAATGCTGGGAAACCCAGGACAGTATGTAGAAAAGGATTCCAGTATTCCCTTACACTATTATCTATGACCCAAGTGACGTTTAAGAGTGACTCCTATCATGAATGCAAAAAACGTGGCGGGAGGAGGGCAACAAATGTCTTTAAGTACCAAAAGAGAATTGTAAAAATGAAAGCAGGAAGAAGATAAAGACTACAAAATCCATTACACTAACGTTTCATGTTCTCACCCGGAGCAGATGGAGTTGAATGTTACAGCACAGGACGAGCAGATGAATTGTGGATGAAATTATTGATTTTTAATCTCATATATTAAATAAAATGGGAACTGCATTTCCCAAGTCTCTCAAGGTCCTGCTTATATTATATTTTCTTCCTGGAGAAATAATCCTTATCTGATTAATATAAGCAGACAAAACATCTCACACAAAAGATTCAAATGAAGAATGGGTCGAGTTTCAGGACTTTAACCAGATCTCTTTTGATTGCCCATAACATTCTTTATGCCTCAGGGCTGCCCCCAACTTCAAGGAGATGTTGTTGTGTGAGCTATTCTTTCTGCAGATGTAACTTCACTGTGGGGATACACGTGAGCAAAGAGGTTGCCCTTTGTGTGTATTTTTAAATGCATGATTGTTTCTAGGTGGGCTTCAGGCATGAGGGATAGAGAAGCACAGGCTACATTTCTGCCCAATTTACACCTTTGGCTGGGTGGTCCTGTGTAGTGAACAACATGTACAACTCAGGAAAGTTACTCTTCAGTAGTTTCGTTTGCCTATATGTTTCACTTGAATGATTCATTGGGAAAGATTAAACAAGCAAGCTGTTGAGGAAGCAGTCCCCATAATACCAGAAAGTCATTTTTAAAATTACCTGAACTTATTGTTTTAAGAGACTGCATCAGAAAAAGTGTCTCTCTGCTGTGGTTATTATTTTAGCTAAGAGTTGAAAAAAATCAGATCATGATATAATAAGATATTAAAAACCATGAACAATTAACACTGCTTTCCTATTCCTTTTATAGAGCAACTGTGCATGCCCTCTTTTCTATTAGCCACGATGGTTTCAAAATCCACATCATTTTAGCAGAGCCATTCTTAAAGAGAAAGAATGAGGTGACCAGTACCACCAACAGCAAACAGAAAGTGCATTTTCCACTTTTTCTTGGGCCTGGTCCTCTAGCAAGCACATTCATTTTACTTGTAACCAAATAGGTACCCTAGAAAATTGCTGCACAGCAGACTATGAACTCATGTGATATTTGAAATTATCTTGTTGGTTTCCTCCCCTCTGTTCCCCTTACTCCCATACCCTCCTCACATAAGCACTAGCATCCAAATATCCCAGGAGCAGTGAATGGGGGCTCTGGAACCACACCAATCCAGGAGAGAAATACAGCAGGAAAACCAAAACCTAGGAATGACTCATTGCCCACCAAGAGAAGTGAGAACTTCTGGTGCTGGAACACTGCCCACTGCAGCTCAGACCAGTCCAGAAGAGGACGGTGTGAGTGACAGCAACATCCTACTCCAGCCACGGACACTGAGGCACAGGCAGGGAAGGAGACACACAGGAATCAGGAGGGGGAGTAGGGTGGGGGAGGAAGACATGGCTGGGCAGGGAAGGAAGGCTCAAGACCCCTGGCTTTGTTTCTTCAACACGAGAACCTTGACCTGGATGGTCTGGCTAGCTTACAGGGAGGCTATTTGCTACATGAGTTTTAATAAGTCCCAACAGCATCTTTCCTTTGACTTCACAAATTTAACAAAACCCTGTTTTGAAATGACTTTCAACAGTTTCCTCTTCAAGGGGAAAAAAAATCCCCTTTCCTTACCTCAATGATGTAGAGGACTACATTCTTGTAGAAGCAGTATAATATGCACTTGGTCACCCGGATGTAGCTCCAGGCTCCATGTACAAGCAGGAGCTTCTCCAAGTAAGAAAACTGAAAAAGGAAAACATCAAAGTTCAGAAGAGCCTGTAACAGAGGAATAAATGTCACAAAATGTGCTTATAAGCAGAAAACAGATAAAATAGGTTCAGGAAGCTAGATTTTGCAGAAAACCTGAGAAGACCATTCCCTCAAGGTGGAGCTTTCCATGAGAACAATCTCAAATCTATCTCGTTAGTACCTTCCCCAAATGTACTTCTGGACTTCCTATTGTGATTTTCACAGAATCCGTTTAGTTATTTACTTGTCTTGGTACTAGAGATTGAACTCAGGGGTACTCTTCCACTGAGCTACATTTCCAGCCCTTTTAATTTTCTATTTTGAAACAGGGTCTTGCCAAGTTGTTGAGGCTGGTCTTGAAGTTGCGGTCCTCCTGCTTCAGCCTCCCAAATAGCTGGGATTACAGGTGTGTGCCACCATGACCAGCAACAGAACTCTATTCAATCTAATACTTTTTAAGGGTCTTAATTATTAACAGAAGGTGACCACTGGAACTGGAAGAAAAGTACAATGAATCAGATTCCTCTACATAATCCTGTCATAGATTTTATGGTGAGTAAAGGGACAGGGACACTTATGCAATAATGTCTTGCTTAAAAAAGATACACACCCTTGAACACACAAATTGTTCCCACTGTCAGCCTACAAGTTACAATTATACATAGAAACACACACACATACACAACAGAGCTATACATACCAGTACACAAAGGTACACAAACACACATATAGATACAAGGTCAGAGACACATTAACGCCAACACACAGATACACAGAAATTTATATACATACACAATGCCCCTACTTCTATACCCATTTTGTTCATCTTTTTACTCTAACTTGCCCAGAGCACCCTTTATCAGAGTGCTGTACAGTCACAGCAGTGGAGTGATTCTAGCTGAGAGTGATGTAAAAGCTCCTGCAGGTTGAGATGGGAAGCAACGATATCCCAATGAAATCCATGCATMCTCTTTGAGGCAAGGGTCTGTCAATCTCCCATTAGCCTGGCTTTGCCTTCTGGGTCCAGGAGTATGACCTAAAAAGTGTGAACCTTGAACTGGAGAGAGGGTAATGAGGGTGTTTTTTTGTTATTGTTTGTTTTATTTTTGTTTTGTTTGTTTTCATTTGTTTCTTTGTAGATTACATCATGCTCTGGCAAGAACAAACTATTAGGGGAGAACTTGTTTAAGGTAAGAGTGTCCTTACATTCAGTTGTGCCCCATCCTGGTTGCTATTATACTTTGGATGTGGTCTGTCCCTCACAGGGTCATGACACCAGTGTGGCACTCTGAGAGGTAGAGGAAACCTTATGAGGAAAAGTCAAGAGGGAGGTGATTAGGACACTAGGGGCCTTGCATTCAGAAGGGATTCCCCAGTTAATTCCTATAAGAGGAATTGCTATAGAAAAGCAGGCCTGGCTCCATCTCTGCCTTCCTGCCTCATTATGGTGATCTCTGGTTCTCATGTGAGTTCCCATTATTATGTCAGCCGCCATGCTGTGATGTAGCTAGAGGGCCACACCAGAGCCAGCAGATGTTGGCACCATGCTCCTGGACCTCCAAACTAAGAAAGGGATGAACCTCTTTTCTTTATTAAGTATTTTGTTACGGGAACAGACTAATTCAGTTGCCTTAAATGAAAATCTGAATTCATTCATTCTATGTCATAGTGTCCGAGGCCCCTGTTCCTGACCCGGGCAATGCAAAGACTTTAACCCTACAACCCGACTAGGAGAAACAATTGGGCTATGCTGACAATACCCTAAAACATTAGAAATTCTATTATTATTATTATAAACTTCCTATCAATTTCAGATAACTTTTGAAATTAMATTTAACTATCTGTAGAAAAGAAAGACTCTTACTTAAAATAAAATATTTTAAAAAACACGTCTTCAAGAGGAAACTACATAATAATTCCCTTTAGCACTCAAGAAGGACACTGGATTGTAGGCAAAGTCACATTTCAATGAGTTCTTCCTGGCCACTCATCAAAATCTAAAGGACGACTTCAAAATGGCAGAAGTAGGTGCATATGGAAAAATAAAACTCCTCATAAAGGCTCATTAAGGATTCCAAAGGGGAATGGGGAATCATAAAATAACTAGCTAAACAAATAAAAAGGAAGTTTGCATTTGACCTGGACCTCCCGGTGTTAAATTTCAATGGGCACAGAGAACATCTGCTTGAGTCATCTCCAAGGCCTCAACCTGAGCGTTACAATGATTTGTTTTCAGGGGGGAAAAAAAAAGAAAAAAAATTACATCCTAAATCAAAATGCTGTCTTCATGAAGTCATTCAAAAGACATTAAGAAGGTAGGGGGCAGGAATGATTCTCTCCAGAGGAGAATGGGAAGCTGAGGACTCCAGGTGAAGTTTTATACCCACAGTCTAGGCTACCCAGAGCCAGGCAGACAGAGGACAGTTAGTTGTCTGTCTGGAGCTGCCCCTGTGCATGAGGCAGATGGAAAAGAAATGGAACCAGAGCTCGGTCTGCTTCACAGCTTTCCCAAGGGTAAGTCGTTAAGCTAAATATATTTTTTCTTCTCTACATCACCTTACAGGGTACTTCCTCATAAACACGATCAAAAAAGTGTTCACAAAAAACCTCAAATTTAAATGAACAGATAAAGCAATGTGAACGTCAATCAGCGATGTTTATCCATTCAGTGGGGACAAAGGAATTCACCCACTCATCGTATTTCTGGTGTAGTAATTAAGGTACAAAGAACATCATGTGGGGTGGAGATGAGGCAAAGTTAAGCATGAAATTGGCCCTGAAATAACAGCATCCCTGCCTAATCATGAACAGGACCACGGACAGGAGACACAAAGGCCCAGAGACTCATGTGGCCTCCATCAGTACCTTTGGCAGAGGCACCCATTACCCGGGAAGGGCAAGAAAACCCCCAAGTGGAGTTATAAAACCCTGCTCCCTGCTCCACCCTTCTTTGACACTTTTAATCTGATGAAAGCAATTGCTCCAGATTCCACATCCTATTAGTATGCAGCTTCAATATAGCAGGTCATGGAATCTCCCTTCCCTGGACATTTTAAAGAAAAAGACAGAAAAATATTTTCCTGGAACTCCTAGGAAACCTCTGATGATCTCTTCCAGCCATATGATCTTATAACTCAAGTATTTAATAATGCTGGGGTATATAACATCCACAGTTGCTGACAGCATACAGGAAGCTTGAGTCCCCCAGGCCTCTGAGCAGTGGACTGAGAAAGTAAACGGGCAGGTGTGCAGGGCGACTCCCGACTTCACACGGGGTCGGCACTTCTCTGACCTTGGATAGGCCCTCAGACCTGAAACAGGTCACCTGATGCAAAGGAACCTCAGTTTTCCCACCTGTAAAACCAGAATTTCTCTTCCTCACCACTCAAGGAATCATCCTGAGAATTTATTTGATATCAACAAAGGAACAAGGTTGATTTCATGCTCTTTTCAGAGCCACGTGGATTTTGTAATTCCTCCCTGCATTTGCAGAACCTGGAACTTGGAGGGAATCTGAGCAGCGATCGAAGGCAGCCCTCCTTTGGGGAAGGGGAGCCCCAAAGCTGCAGAGGACCAGCCCACAAGTCCTGGAGCGGCAGGAAGTTTGTTCATGTTTTAGAGGCAACCCCCTGATTTCAGCTCGAAGCCACTCTTCCTTGGGTTCATGTGATTAAGGTTAACACAGACTTCAAAAGTCTAACCACAGAAACAGGAGAGAGCTCTTGCTAACCAGTGTAGGAGCCTATAGTCACCACATATTGAGATCTGGAGGCAGGAGGAAATGCTCTGTGTTCCTGGGATGATGACATTTTCGGGATGATTTAGTAGGCCAGATGATCTGGACATGTGCCCTAGGGGTCAGGAGGTTGGCTCTTTTCCTTCACCTTTCGATGTCATTAGGAACAGACATTTCTTTCATCCTTGAGCCACCTATACAGTAACCACAAAACACCTAAGAAATTCTGCATGCAATTCTCAATCCAGAGAGGAATGGAATGAACTTGGCCTGGCTGCAGGTGGTCACATGCAGGTGAGCATGGGTCATGATGGCCCAACCCAGACTCAAGCTCTCAGCAATTTATCTCACAGAAGTGGTACTGGGCAGCAACCCTGTCATGACTGCAGAGAGGGGAGAGGCTGTAAATCATTGCTTTTCCCTGACCTTAGATACTGAGTAGTGCATGCCAGCACCTTCTGAAAGAAGAGGTGCCACTGAAAATGGATGTTATGGGCACAGTTATTCTCCAGCAGGGGGACTTATACAAGGAAACCCACGCAGGAGAAACACTTGGAGCATGAAAGGCGATCACTCACAGATCAGGGGCCCATCTGTCAGGCATGACATGTCACCTGGATGGCAAGAAATGACAGGTCACCTGGATGGCCAGCCCTACTCTGACAAAGGAAATGGTGCCTCCAAACTGCACAGGATCAAAGGGATGGAGAAATCTGAATAACAGGACAACTGGTCACCCATGTGGCTAACCTGTGCAATAGCGTAATCCGAGTTGTTGGTGGCCTGCATGCCCTCATTGCCACTGATCCCCACACCCACGTGGGCTGTCTGGATCATCCCGACATCATTGGCGCCATCCCCGATGGCCAGGGTGATGGCGTTCACCCGCTTCTTCACCACTTCCACTATTTCAGACTTCTGCAGAGGAGATACTCTGTGAGAGAAGAAAGAGAAATTATGACAACATGCGTCTTTCCAGAGCAAACAGCTGTCATCTACATTTAGCAGCATTAAAAGGGCAGTTATTGGCCAATCTCCAAATCCAATACATACATTTTATGCTTGTGTTCAAAGAAGCTTGCACAAAACAGTAGCTTGTGGCTTTCAAGTGTTTGCCAACTTCACAGATGAAATACACCACCCGAAGCTAACTTAAAACCCAGCCTATCTGCAATGGCTCTGCTCAGTTGGAACCACACGAGAGCAAACTCTTCAGGGAACCTGTGCCCTGCTGAACAATGAAGTCAGTTAAACTAGTCACAGGGGTCTTCAGAAACATCTTCCCAATAAATCAGAACATGAGCCCAGACCCCATGTGTTCTCTGCTGCACAGCACATATGACCTAGGGCTGGCAAGGGAATTTTCTGTAAAATCTGCTTTTACAGAAGGCAAAGATAATTGGCAGGGCAAAAGAAAGAGCAGAAAGAAGGCCAGAGTAGGAAGAAAGAAAAGAGACTGGCTCATCTCTGCCTACAGATGGACAAGTGCTTGATGGACAGCTAGGGCAGTATTGAGGAGCAGCAATCTCAGGAGTAAAGGTCTACCATACCTGTACTTTGCAGAAGCACAGCCCAAAAGGGGAAAAGAAAAGTAGGCCCTGCCTAAGAGAGGTTGTCATATCAGTGATGGAAGAAGGTGGCCTAGTTTTCATAATTCCTCAGGTCATCTGGGAAGAAGACCTACTAGAAATCTATGGTTCTAAAGCACACAAGCAATGGTAATTATCATGAAGCATTTAATCAGAGTATAAGACCACACAAACCAACAGTATTAAAAAAAATCACTAGTATCTCAGGACTGATTTATTTGAAATTTGGGATTGAAAAACTGATATTATTTTGGGAAACTTACAAATAAACACCTGAATCACTGGCATATGCACATATGTGTGTGCGCTCGCCCTCCCTCTCTCTCTCTCTCTCTCTCTCTCTCTCTCTCTCTCACACACACACACACACACACACACACACACACACACACACACAAGCATACACATGGTAAATATAAAGTAAATGACTTCCAGGTTCCCAGAGGTCTACTGCTGCACTCACACGTGGACTGTAATGTAAACTAGAATGGGCACTCAAAGACTTGCCTAGTACAACTACAACTGCTCAGTTGGCCTCTATCCACAAAGATATCCATTCCCAACAGAAAACCTAAAAAGTTACCTTATATTTAATTTTACCGGTCTGGGAAGAAATGCATTTGAATGCAGCATGAAGCTTTTGCTATACTCTCAGTTACTAAGATATAAAAATAAGAGAGGTAGAAAAGCAGAAGTTTAGAGTTGAAGGGGCTTTAGAAAACATACCACATAGTCCATCCAATATCTCCTTTTTCATTTTTGTAGGAGTTTGCAATGATAGAAATCCACTGCTTCCTGGAGTCGATGCAATCACTAAAAATTATTGTTGCTTTTTTGTTGTTATTGAGCAAACTCATATGTGTTAATTCTGCCCCGTGACCTAGACCAGACCAAGTATAACTCCTCTTTCATATACCTGAAAGGTTGAAATATAAAGACATCTATCACGTTCTTCCCCCAAAGCTTAGCTTCTGCTAATTACTTTCTCAGTTCTTCAACTTTTAGTTAACAGCATGCTTCAGAATCTAAAAACACCTTATAAGTATGACCCTCTAGGAGCTGAGAGCAGAATAATGAACTGACTTTAATGCAGCCTAAGATGAAGTACCCAGAAACTTTATTATTGCTTATCACTGAGTTTCTTGTCAACCCAAGCAATTTCCATGCAGAGGGGGGAAAAAGCCGCATATTTTGCCTCCAAGTTTGTGCAACTGCTGAGATGAGGGAGATAGGACAGCCCACAATTCTCATTTGCAACACAAAGGTGATTTCTCATTCCATTTTTTAACTCAATAGAATCAGAAATCAAATGTGTTATGCAGAGTAATGGGAGTCAGATTTAAATAAGCATGAACTTTTCCTCTGCCCATGCTAACCATGCAAGCAGGAGAGGGATCCTGTGAGTTCCTGTCTTTTCACTAATGAAATGAAGGAAATGAGAACTGCCCACCTCATAAGATAGTTATGATATATTAATGTGAAACCATTACATTAACCAACAAGTGTGAAATAAGTGTTACCTCCTACTCCATCTAGCACAGGGTTATCTGCAAAGCCTCAGTTGTTGGGGATAAAAAATGAACATGTGAAAATTGTATCTCATCTGACACAGGGTCTGTATGTATGTATAGGTACCCGGGAGGTGTTGCAGAGGATGTTTTAAATATTTGAGGGAAATACACCAATATCTCTCAGGTAATAGAGCAAAATACTAGCTGGAAGTATCTCTTCACAGTTTCAACATTAGATCATACTACATTCCTTCTCATGATATATTTTTGTGAAACTGAGTTTTTATGGTTGCAATGACAGCAAATATGTTGTGCAAATCAATGTGAACTAGGAAATGAGGGAGGTGGTAGCTGCTGTCACCCTAAGATGAAGAAGCTATGTAGTGCTCAGTGGGTCTACCACCATGTACCACTGGAAAGTGATTATGATTATTTAAGGATGGAGGAAATAAAGATTATTTCTTCCAATGCATGTGCATTAGTGTTTGAAACACCTGCTAAGTTGTTCAGTCATAAGTACTTCTTAAATTATTTGACCTGACCTACTTAACAGTAAGACATGGTTTGATTTTTTCCTTTGGCCTAGGGACTTGCAAAGGGATTATTAAGGATGTCGCACATCCAAAGAGTCTGGAAGCCTCTGCATGAATCACTTTTCTCCATGATCATATTCATCACCCTGAGTATGGTCATTTCCCTGTGGGGTGAAACTTTGTCTGATGAGGCCATCATGTAATCTTGTACTGTATTTCTGCATCCATGAAAATAATGCAAGAGAACAAGGAACAGAAACTGAAGCATTCCTGGGCAGGCCGGGGCTACCACTCCTCAAGACTGTGTATTCTTCAAGTCATCAAACAGGCCGGACTTGTTGTCAGTAAATCTGAGGTGGTGTGGAGAGAAAGGGAGCCAGGGCAGAAGAAAGCTTGGTCGCTTCACACCGTGGGAGGATGGAAGAATCATGGTGGTTTGGATGTGAGATGTCCCTGAAAAACTTACATGTGAGACAATGCAAGGAGATTCGAAAGAGAAATGATTGGGTCGTAAGAGTCTTAACCCAATCAGCGATTTAATCCCCTGATTAACTGAATGGTAACTGAGTGGTAGGCCCTGAGGAATGGAGCTGGCCTTCTGTGGATTTTTAATCTTAATTTGTGACCTGGAATCACAAGCCACACTCTGAAACTAGGAGCCCATTAAATAAACTCTTCCTCCTCTACAGTTGTTCTGGTCGGGTCTTTAAGTCACAGCAGTGAAACAGCTGATGAAAATAGGGGTGGAATAGGGAAGTGGCTAAACTAAATTGATCAATAGGATTATTTGAGGTCAAAGTTGTAGGTTTTCTATTAGGAGATGCTACAGTTTGGGTCTTAAGTGTTGCCTAAAAGCCTGTGTGTTAGAGGTTTGCTCTCCAGCTTGGAGTTATTAGGAAGTGGTGAAGTCTTTAGATCACTAGGGTACGAGCCCTCATAAGTAAACAGGGACCCCAAACCCTTCTCTTTCTTTTTTTCATTTCCTGGTCCTGAGGTGAACAGCTTTGGTCAGCCACATTCTTGCTATCATGATATGTTGCCTTGCCATAAACTCAAAACAATGGAGCTAAATGACCAAGGACTGGGATCTCCAAACCTATGAGCCAAAATAAACCCTTTTTTCATTATAAGTTGATGATCTTAGACAATTTGTTACAGTAACAGAAAGCTGATTAACACAGAGAATTTAGAGATAAGCTAACCAACTGGAGATGAGCTGCAAGTCAAATAAACTCACTAGGCTTGCTCTCTGAGATTTGGACCTCAAATCAGTCAGTCAAGTCATGCTTTCCATCCTTACAATATGAATATCCAACAGCTGCCTTTTTTCCAAACAGCAAAGTAAAGGGTATATAACTCGAGTCATATCCCAGCATTTTAGGACCATGAAATTCTCATCAAGGATTTATTATGCCCTCAGCTGAAATGCCTTGAGAAAACATAATTCTAGCACACACTAGGGGTTCAAAACAGATGTCAAACAGGTAATTTCTACAGAACTGAACAGGCACTATTACACTTCAGCCATATGTAGTATTTTAGTATGCCAAGTTGCCACAAAGCACAAGCCAGCTCTTTTTTAATCTTAATTTGTGACCTGGAATCACAAGCCACACTTAATAAGCTTTCCCAGGGTATGATACATTCATCCCATAAAATAAGAACTCCAGACCACTTCTGAGCTGATCGAGGTGCTTAGGGTATTTTATAACCTACTTTTGTACATTATGAATAAAAACATATACTCAAAGAATTCAATCAACTGGAGAGATAGTCTACCACTTTTTTTGGCTAATACAATAGATTCTAAAATAAGAAGTTTCCCTTTTGAGATTTTTTTTTTTAAAAAATCAATATCCTGGAGAATCTCATTTTACGGGATTTACATTCTTGAAATTTTAAAACTAGCTTTCTAAAATTATTTCAAATGTAGCACTTAAATTAAATCATGGGCGACTGCTTTTGTAGAATTAATGTTCATTCATTAATTTAATCTGACCTATAAAAACCTTGGTCTCAGATTGAGTTTCCCAATTCTGATCTTATAATATAGTTTGAGCAAGCTTAAGCAAATTCCTTTTGCTTAAAGTCTCTTTCTCAAAGCCCAGCTGCCCAGTTTGCCAAAGAGAGACTGGACCTAGATTTTATGTATTTGTATACCGAGGTCACCTGAGCCAGAGGAATGTCAAGAAACTCCACCCAGAAACATCCCAAAGAGCGTCCCCCAGACCCCAAACACTCACTAATTAACCAGATTCACTAAATGCTTTCATTCACTGGGCTTCCAAATGTCTCTATTCT